TTGAGTCTTTTCCATCATGTCCTATTCTCTGTGATCCCATTTGGGCTTTTCTTGGCAAAGGTACTGGAGCGGTTGGCCATTTCCTTCTCCAGATCATTTTACAGATGAGGAAACTGAGGCAAACAGGATTCACACAACTAGTAAGTGTCTGAGGCCAGATTTGAACTTATGAAGAAGAATCTTCCTGACTCCAGGCCCAGCGCGCTATCCACTGCACCACCTAGTTGTCCCTAGGTGCTATTAATACCCCCATTTTACAGGTTAAGCCATTCACCCAAGGTCACAAAGACAATAAGTGTCTGAGGCTAGATTTGAGTTCAAGTCTCCCTGACTCCAGGCCAGGAGCTCTATCCATTATAGATTGATTTCCCCATTAGCTCCAGGCTTAATTGGGAGCTCACTGGAACATAGGATGGGCGTCTCCCTTCTCTAGCCCTTGTGTTCCCCTGATAGGACTATCTTAGAGAGAGGGGATCTGGGAGTGTCTATAGAGAGTGACGGAATGTGAGGTGACTCCAGGTATGCCCCTGCTCTGACCGGTGTGCTGTTGCTTTGGCTGGCCAGGGCCCAGACCTTCAAGCCACTTCCAAGAAGTCATTTCAACATTCTATTGTTCTCACCTGCCTTGGACTCCACCTTTGGACCCCCTGGCTCTGAGAGGTGAGTTTTCATGTGCCCAAACATCCACGACGCTTCCCCGGGGTCTTTCCAAGTACACCCCCCCCTTCCAGCGCCTATGTGTGGGGTCTTTTATTAGAGTGTTAGTTATTAGAGATCAGTGACTTATTGGCTTGTATTTTGTATTCAGCACAGAGCTTGGCACATGGTAAGACTTTAATAAGTGCTTTCTCTATCCAGCTGGGGCAGCTAGGTGGTACAGTGGATAGAGCAATGGGCTTGGAATCAAGAAGACTCATCTCCATGAGTTTAAATCCAGCCTCAGACACTTAGTAGTTGTATGACCCTGAGCAAGTCACTTCCTCCTGTTTCCCTCAGTTTCCTCAATTATAAAATGAACTAGGGAAGGAAATGACAAACCATGTCAGTATCTTTGCTAACAACATCCCAAATGGGGTCACAAAGAGTCGGACATGACTGAAAAATGATTGAACAACGTCTATCTAGCTATCTATCTATCTCACAGCAGCTCCAAAGCCGAATCTAGCCTTCCCATTTCTTTCTTCCTCAATCCCCTAGCACTGAAATGAGGACTTGGAGAAGGAATGGATGAATGAAAAAAGCATTTATTAAGTGACTTACTGTGTGCCAAGTTCTGCCAGACTTGGAAGTAGACTGTGGGGATACAAATTCAAAAGCAGAAACAGTCCTTGCCCTGGAGGGGTTTACCATTCCAAGGAGGGTAAGGGTTAGAAAGTTTAGAAAGTGACAGGGCTAGTGGGTGGGACCCATAGTTCAACTCACTCCCTGAAGCCACGTCAGAGTTGATTTGATGAAACTTTCCATCTAGGGAGTGGGGGAAGGGTGTAGACTTAGGAGATGAATGGAGAGGAGGGAGAGAAGGGAAGAGTGTTTGGGGCTCTCCTGAAATAATAGTCTGAGAGAAGCAGTCAGAAGCTCTTACCCTCAGGTGCCCTAGGCTAAATGTATGATAAGCATGATGAAGCAACTCACGGAATTAGGCGAGAAGAGGGGACAGGATAGGGGACCCCTGTGAATGTGATCAGACTTCTGGCTCTGAGTTCCCCACCTCACTGCCTGCCCCCAATACACCATTCTCCACCCTATCTATGCCCTTTCACCCTTATACCTTTGATATGTGTTCTCTCAGTGCATATAGGGAGCACATATTGTAGACTCTGACATTTAATAGCGGTGTGACTTTGGGCCTCTGGCTTAACCTCTCTGTGTTCGTCTGGGACACTTTATGTCCCATAAAATGGGCATAATAATGCCTGCAGCATCTAGCTCACAAGGTTGTTGTGCGGTTCAAACAAGGGGATGGAAGTCAACCACTTCCCAAACCTTAAAGCACTTTGTGAATATCCTTTATTTTCTTGTCCTGATCTTTCTTTCATCGAGACAGACTATAGATCCCTGTAACTCCTAGTGTTAGAGCAGTGCGGAGTGAAGGGACAGGCAGACAGGCAGGGGTAATAAGATATAATATGCTCGGGAAGGTATCCTGGGAGCAAAATGTAAAGAGCTTTAAATACCAAACAGGAGCTTGTATTTGAAACTAGAAGCAGTCTACAGCTAGCCTGTATCAGAAGCAAGACTTGAACCCATATCCTCCTGACTGCCGATGATGATATTAGAGCTTCACACTCTCTCCTTACTGTAGCACAGTGCCTGGCACATAGTAGGCACTTAATAAATGCTGAATTGTCCTGCCTCCAATTTCCCGGCTGTGTGAACCTGGAGACATCACTTAATGTCTCAGTGATCTGCCAGTTCTCAAAGTCAAAGCGTTGCAGGAAAGGTGCCACTTGCTTTGACAGAAAGGGTTTCTTCATCTGGGATTTCCCTAAGTCAAAGGAATCACCCATTCAGTCCCTATCCCTACCCAATTAGTTGTTCAGTAGGTTTTTCAGTTGTGACTTTCAGTCATCTTCGGGAGTTCAAATCTGGCCTCAGACACTTACTAGCTGTGTGACCCGGGCAAGTTGTTTCACTTGTCTCCAATTTCCTTATCTGTAAAATGAGCTGGAAAAGGAAATGGCAAACTACTCCAGTATCTTTGCCAAGAAAACCCTAAATGGGGTCAGGAAGAGTCAGATACAGCTAAAAGGACTGAACAACAACAAATCAACATCATCATCACCACCACCACCACCATCATCATCATCATCTTCATCATCATCATCATCATCATCATCATCTTCATCACCAACAAATCAAAGGAATTGCCCATTCAGTCCCAGTCTCTAGGCAATGGGAGTTCTTCCCTCAACCTCTAATTCTTCTGGGGAGGAAACTTAGAACCCTAGCCTGCAGATAAAAATTTGTAAACCTGGGAGGCCAGGTTTCAAGAAACCCAGCCCCCATCCCTGCCATTATTTTTGTAATGCAAAGCTACTGTCAACCCTAAGGTTTCCTGTTTGGGCGATTAAATACCTAGCTTATGAACAATGACTTAAATAACTTTAGCTTTACCAGAGGATGACTGCTCTGTGAATTCTCTTGTAAGTTGAGAATGTTTTAGCAATAAAACCAATTCCATTAGGTTGGGATTTCTGTTTGGCCAGATTTCTAAAGAAGCTTTGGCCAACATATGAGGAACCAAATATGGTAAAGGAAATCCCAGACAATTTCCCCTCCCTACTCCCCCAGACCTTCCATTCAGATTATTTACCAGATGCCAAAACATCTGGAGAAAAAGGAAAATGTTCATATATTCACTTAATTGCTTGTTCTGTGTAATGCCTTATATAATATTTGATGCCTTTAAGAACATTAAGAATAACACATTTCTAAAGGGAATTTTGAAAGAAATAGATCAAGAAAGGTGCTAGACTGGCATTGGGCATGGCAGATCCTCCCTTCTTCCAGGTGAACCGTAACTTGCCCCCTCCCCCAAGTCAGCATTCTTGCCCCTGTCTAGGGGAGATGTTGGCAGGTGTGACTTCCCTAAGGGGGTGTTAAAGAGTACATCTTGGTGTCCCCCGAAGCTCTATCCTGGGCTCTCTTCTCCTTCTACATTCTCTTTCTTGGTGACCTCATTAGCTCTCATGGGTTCAACTGTTGTCTCTACAAAAATGGTACCTAGCTTTTTATATCCAACCTGGGTATTTCTCCTGAGTTCCAGTCCCACATTACCAATCGCTTATTGGGCATTTCCAACATTTGTATCTCAAACTTAATATGTCATTCATTATCTTCCCCTCTCCTTCCAACCCGATCCAATCCTCCTCTGATTTCCTTATGTTTGTTGAGGGCACCAACATGCTTCTAGTTATTCAGGTTCAAAACCTTGGTGTCACCCTTAGTCCTCCCTCTTCCTCACTCCACATATCTCCACTCAGGTGCCAAGTCATCTGGATTGCATCTCCATAACATTTCTCATATCCATCCCTTTCTTTCCACTCACACAGTCACCACCAGGACCTTATCACCTCTCATTTGGATTGCTACAGTAGCTTCTTGGGCAGCTAGGTGGCACAGTAGATAGAGTGCTGGGCCTGGAGTCTGGAGGATGTGAGTTCAAATCCAACCTCAAACAAATTGGCTGGGTGACCCTGGGCAAGTCACTTCACCTTGTTTGCCTCAGTTTCCTCATCTGTCAAATGAGCTGGAGAAGGAAATGGCAAACTACTTCAGTATCTCTGTTAAGGAAAACCCCAAATAGGGTCATGGAGAGTAGAACATGGCTGAAACGACTCAACAACAGAGTAGCTTCCTACTCCAATCCATTCTTTATACAGCTGCCAAAGTGAAATTCCTAAACTGTAGACTGCTTCTAGTTTCCAAAACAAGCTCCTGCCTGGTATTTAAAGCTCTTTGCATTTTGCTCCCAGGATACCTTCCCAAGCTTATTATATCTTATTACCCTTTCCACATTTCTTTCTTGTTCTTCCTGACAGAGAACATTCCATTTCCCACCTCTGGGAGGTTGTATTGTTCTTTATTCATGCCTGGACTGTATTCTATCTTCACTGGTGCCTTTTAAAATCCTCATTTTCTTTCAAAACTCAGCCGAAAGGCCACTTGAAAGGCCACTTCATTTACGAGGATTTTCTTGAATCCCCTACCCACTAATCTGAATGCCCCACCACCCCCACCTCAGCAAAGTGACTCCCCTTGAAACTGCCTTCAATTTATTCTGAACCTATTCGGTCAATACTTATATACATGCTGTCTCCCCCAATAGAAGGTTAGCTTCTGGAGTGTCAGAACTGTTTCACTTTTGTCTTTCTACCTATCTCCAGTACATTGCATAGAGCCTGGGACATAGTAGGCTCTTAATAAATGTTTGTTGAATGATTTGATTGAGTCTTGATTTCTCCCCACCTCTTTTGCCATCTTCTTAGGGGCTACCTTACCTTGCTGGCCTGACTGTGACTCTTTGGTTTCCAGGTCACGGGTCAGTTCTGGGGGGAAAGAAGAGAGAGAGGGAAATTATTATTAGAGTATATGTATGTGTTTGTACCTGTGTATATTGTCAGGAAATGACAGCTCAAGCCCTAGGAGTGGGGGGATTAGCCCCACTGAGAGAGGGGGCCACCGAAAAAGCTAAGACAGGTTCCTAGGTCTGAGCTTAGTGTGTAAGGGTCCCTCAGCCCCTGAAGGGACTCCTAGGGGAATTAGTCATACCTGGAGAGCCAACGCCATCTGGTGGAAAGATTGGTGGGCTGTGAAAATCACAGTGTGCTGATTGGGGTGTGGGAAAGAAGGAATAATTGAGGATACCCAGGATTTTAGAAGGATTGTAATTCTGGATTGTAGCAGACAGGGGCCCTTACCACTTCCCACTCATATCACTCAACTGAAAAGCAAGGGATCAGTCTTTGGCGATATGTTAATCCTATCCTCTCCCTCCTCTCTGAGAAGGAGGGAAGGAAGAAAAGAAGAGAAAGGAAAGAAGGAAGGGAGGGAGGAAGGGAGGAAGGAAGAAAGGGATGAAGAAAAGAAGGAAGAAGGAAAAAGGAGAGGGAGGGAGAAAGGGAGGAAAAAAGGAAAGAAGGCAGGCAGGAAGGAGGGAGAGATATAGAAATAGAGGAAGGGAAGAAGGAAAGAAGGAAAGGAGAAAGGAAAGAAGGAAGAAAAAGAAAGAAATCAAGAAAGAATGAGCCAGTCAATGCCATCTACAGTCACCTATTCCAGCTGTTGTCCAGAAAGTTCTGGAAATGATTGATTTTACTATATGCTAGGCCTAGCTTTAAGTGCTGGGAGGGACTTCAGGGATCACTTAGTCTGATCAATCTGTAAAATATGATTTTACAGACGAAGAAGCTGAGGCCAAGAAAGTTGAAGTGACTTGCCCAGTGACACAGAGGTTGCATGTAACACAGCTGGGATGTCAAAGGATCTTAAATTTAGAAAGGAATTTCAGAGGTCGTCTAGCCCACCCCCTCATCCTTTCAGGGGAAGAAACAGGCCCTAGTCCTAGGAAGGGTCTTGCTCAAGGTCACTCAGGGAGTAAGGAGCAACAGCTGGATTTGAACTCATAGCCTCTGACTCCAGGTCCAGCATCTTCCCCCACCATACTACACTGCCATGAGGAGCAATGTAGAGACAAAAAAGGGCTGCTTTATGCAAACAATTGTGAAGAAAGGTGAAAAGTGCTCAGGAGCCAAGGAAAAGTTGAGCCAAAGTGTTCTAAGAAAATTGAGGAGGCAGAGGATGCTGTGTCTGGGGGAAGAAAGCCTTCCTGAAGAGGCAGCCTAGGGCTGGTCCTTATAGAAAGAACGAGTTCATAATCATAGCTAGTATTCACATATAACTTTAAGGTTTGCAAAGTGCTTTGGGAATATTATTTTATCTTCTCAACAACCATTTTACAGATGAGGAAATTCAAGTAGACAGACTAAGTGACTTGTCCAGGGTCACACAACTAATATATGTTTTGTACTCAGGTCTTCCCCACTATTCTCTGCACCACCTAGATGCCTCTGCAATCAAAAATTGATGATGGGGTGGCTAAGTGACACAGTAGATAGCGCACTGGTGCTGGAGTCAAGAGGACCTGAGTTCAAATCTGGCCTCAGACACTTACAGCTGTGTGACCCTGGGCAAGTCACTTCACCACAATCGCCTTAAAAAAAAGAATTGATAAGTAACTCAAGAGGTGGATAAGTAGATGATGGGTTTCTTTGTGTGTGTAAGTGAGGAGGAGGAGAGAGAGCCATACTCATAACCTTACCGGTGAACCCATTCATTTCTGCTCTTCTTTCCTTCTTCCCTTCTTGAATCTCCTAAATCCAGTGCCCCAAAGGTGTCCCTTCGCTTTCTCCTATTTATTGAAGGGAGGGGTGCTGAACACGATTATTTACTGTATTGCATTTACCTCTGGGAATTTCTGGAAAGGGTTAAGGCTGGAGTTTCAGGGAGGAGGCTTGCAAGGAAAAACAAGGAAAGCAAATCCCCGATTGCTGGTGCGTGCAAAGGGGGAGGGGATGTTAGGGGCTAGAGAATGACACAGGCTTCTCTCCCCATCTGCTTTTTCCTTTGCTCAGTCTGGTTCTAGTTAATGAGGGTGGGGAGGGGAAGGAAGGCAGGGACAAGGGAGGTCGGTAACAGCATAGACACAGCCCCTGTCCACTGAGGTTTGCTTAGGGAATGGTAGAGGCAGGGAGTGGGGCCGATGGGATCTCTTCTGCCTCTGGGGGAGGGACCACTCTCCCCACTCATAATGAGGCAGTGAGAGGCTGGCTGTCCAAACTCTAGCCAGCTCACAGGACCCTGCCCCCACTTCCAGAGAAAATGCATTTTCTCTGGTTATATAATATAGTATCCTGCTGTTAGTTTACGTGTAAGGCACCCTTCTTCTGCCCTGAAGACCTTAGCATAAACCTGACTGATTGTAGAAACAGCTGGGATTTGAGTCAGAGGAAAAAAAGGGGCACCAGCTATATACAGGTGACTTGTCTACGTTTTCTCTCCTGTGAGGGGAAGGCTCTGGTCTAGATGTTTGCTCCAATCCATTCCAGTTCTAACATTCAATGAAATCGAGGGAGGTCCCTTTGTCCCCTGCCTATTATTCCGTGGGGCAAGGTGGGAGGGGAAAGGGGGCTAAATAGTAGCTAGGAGAGATTTCATTAGCATTGGGAATTCCTTATGTCGAATCTCACTCCGTATGTACAGGAAGAAAGATTAAAAGATTAAAAACCAAGTTTTCCACACTCAGTGTGACCTATGCCATACTGCTTCTCTGTTACACTGTACCTTTGCTTATACTTTTCCATGTACCTGGAATGCCCTCTTTCTGCCATCCCCAAATTCTACCTGTTTATATGCTATCCTTTTATATCAATGTCATGCCGCCTTTTCTGCTCAGGTAGAGGTGATCTCTGAATAAGAGAAGGTCAAAGGGGTAGCTAGGTAGGGCAGTGAATAGAGCTCTGGCCTTGGAGTCAGGAGGACCTGAGTTCAAATCCAGCCTCAGACACTTAACACTTACTAGCTGTGTGACCCTGGGCAAGTCACTTAACCCTGCCTCACCAAAAAAAAAAAAAGAGAGAGAGAGAGGGAGAGAGAGAGAAGGTCAAAGCTAGAAAGGGCCTTGGAAGTCATCTTGCCCAATTCCCTACTTACACAATTGAGAAAGCTGAGACCCTGAGAGGATAAATGCTAGTTAAGGGCCAAACCTGGGATTCAAAACCAGGTCTTTTGATTTCAAGTCCATTGTTTTTTCCGTTCTTCCTGCTATGTTTCTTTTTCCATCATATTTTTATAGACTTAGCTTCCATTATATTGTACTTATTTTCCCCTATGTATTATAATTTTACTGAGTGTAATAACCCTACATTTTACAAATATGTACATATACATATACACAGATAGATACACATATATGTAAATGTACATGCACTTTATACACATATATATTTGTATCTCCTTCAGTATCTAAGACTGTACCTAATGCACTGAGTTTTATGCTTAATAGGTCCAAGAAACCAATGTTCATATGCCTCAAAAAAAAAAAGTAGCTAGGAGATGTTTAAGATTCTTGAAACCTTGGCTCAGGTGTGACCTCTAGATGAACTCTAGTGCCCACCTGGGATGCTCCCCACAGCTCTCTGCTTGTGGGAGGCCTAGTCCCAGATGAGGGTCCCTTGGGTCTTGGGTACCTGAGAAGTTGTCTCTCAATGCAACTGAGTAGAGCTCAGGGGACAGGCTGGAGAGCAGAGGGGCTACGCCATGCACTGTGGAGCCCGGAGGCCAGAGATGGGGTGGTGGGAAGTGGTGCCCATAAACTAGGTCTGGCATCTTCATTTATCTCTTCCAGTCTTCCTCCAGGACTCAAGGATTATCTTGCCCCCACCATCTGTGTCTACAAGGGCCAGCAGTCACGTGGAAAAATCAGTAGGATTGGCCTCCTAGTTCAGTTCACATGTGACCTCATGTGTTAAATGGGTATATTGGACTAGACCAGGGGTAGGGAACCTACAGCCTTGGGGCTGCATGTGGGCCTCTAGGTCCTCAAGTGCAGCCCTTTGACTGAGTTTGGATTCAGTCAAAGGGCCACGTTTGAGGACCTAAAGGGGCCATATGGGGCCCCGAGGCTGCAGGTTACCTGCCCCTGGATTAGACCACCTTGGAGACCAGGGGGTCTAGTGGAAATAGTGCAGTTGCTAGTGCTAGAGTGCCAGGCCTGGAGTCAGGAAGACCTGAGTTCAAATCCAGCCTCAGATACTTACTAGCTGGGCAAGTCATTTAACTTTGGTCTGCCTCAGTTTTATCATCTCTAAAATAGGGATAATAGGGGGCAACTCGGTGGCACAGTGGATAGAGCACCGGCCCTGAAGTCAGGACAACCTGAGTTCAAATCGGGCCTCAGACCAAACACTTGACACTTACTAGCTGTGTGACCCTGGGCAAGTCACTTAACCCCAATTGCCTAAAAACAAAACAAAAAAAATGAAATAAAATAGGGATAATAATATTACCTACTTCCTAGGGTTGTTGTGAGAATCAAATGAGATAATATTTGTAAAGTACTTTATAAATCTTAAGGTGATACATTGTCATTTTCAATCAGATAATCTGGGTTAGAGCCCCAGTTCTGCCACTTAGTATACGTGTGACCCTGAACAAGTCCCTCTAGTCACACAAAACCTCTCTAGGCTTTCGTTTCTGATTCTATAAAATGAGGGGGTTGGGCTAGGTGACCTCTATGGACACTTCCAGCTCTGAATCTATGATCCCACGATCTCTAAGGGCAGCCAGGGGGCGCCATAGTGCACAGAGTGCTGGGCCCAAGTTCGAATGTGGCCTCAGACACTTACTAGCTGTGTGACCCTGGACAAGTCACTTCACCCTGTTTGCCTCAGTTTCCTCATCTGTAAGATAAGCTGGAGAAGGAAGTGAAAGCACTCCAGTGTCTCTGCCAAGAAAATCCTAAATGGGTCATGAAGTGTCAGACACGACT